AAAAACTTTTCGAGTCAGTCTGGTTAGATGAAGATTTTTTTATTGTTCTTGTAGAACCAGTTCTTCCTATATTGTAGGCCTGAGCCCGCAAATACCTATGATGGTCCCAAACGCAGCTGGGTCATTTGTGTGATGTTTGTGTAGTTTATGTTTCACATATACAGATCCCCGTTCCCTAACGATACTAAATACCTAAAAAACATTACTTGATTTTCCCTTCATGTTATAGCTTTAGATATAGATAGGAATAGGTTAAATGACACACTATTTAGTTACTAAGCGAATTCGTTGTAATGTTCCCATAATTTCCTTCGTTGACGTGATGGTTTAAATGACCAATCCTCTGAACGAAAAGGACCAAGGGTCGCTGCTTTTACCTACCATATATTTACTACACAAACTATGTAAACAGAAGAAGTTATTTTACTAATTTCTTCCGTGTCTCCAGTCGCTTCCAACACTCCCGCTGTTATTCTAACCCTTCAAGGGTAACCGTTTGTGTATTTGTGTTCCGCTTCCAGGTAAGAATGCGACATACAACTGCCGACATATTGACGTAAACACGAGGCGTTATTTCTGTCCTATCTTCGTTGCGTTGTCGGGATGTGCCGGAAATATTGAGATTCGTTTGTGGGCGAATCCATTAAGCAGGAACAAAGGAACAAATATCGTTACCCTCGGAGGTGAAAGCAAGAGCTTGCTATCCCTAGCTGGCTTAGTCCGTATCTCGGACGGCGTTTATGCAACTGGGGAGAAGATACAAATAGAAACATTTATCTGCATACGACATACGAGTGTCTACTTATCGACAGAACAGTTGACCCTTGGAGATATGTCACGTTTAATACATTATATATCTATAAAGAGATATACAGGGGTTGCACGAATTTATCGTAGACAAAAAAAAGCAAATGATATGGAGGTCTAGTCGTGCTTGACTAGTTTAGATAATTTTCCCGTTTCCAGCGGGGATTATCGCTATACACGTTATTATTGTTGTTACGAAGTAAACAAGGGAGTGCGGTAAGGTCATAACTTATCTACTGTGACTGGCCTAGTATTATGGCTAACCCAGATTCTGTCGGAATGACATTGGACTTAATCTGATTACAAAATAAGCCCAAAAGCGATATGCACTGTTTTTGTAGAAGAATGAACGATGTTGATCAACTCAAACTAGAGGTTAAGACGAAAGTTAAAAAGGAGTACGAGCTGCTCTATTTTGTTCTTTTACTGTGCACCCTATGATTAGTAAGAAGTGGGCATAACTATCAAATGTAATATGGCTAACTAACTTAAAAAGTTTTACTGCTTAAATATGGTAATAACAGAGTTTGAAATAGAAGCCATCTTATCAGAACACTTCTGCAACGCCATTGTGCCAAAAATTTATATCTCTATCGAAATGCACCCCCTAACTACTTTTTCAAAGCAATAGGTAACAAGTCCGAAAGTGCTTTGCAGTCGATGGTAGTTTCGGTGAGAGACATTGGTCAAGCTTGCTTTCTGAGATTCACGGAAGTGTCCCAGAAGTTTCGCGTGGTTCTATCTAGTCGCCTATCGAACTAAGTTCAATTCTATACATGTATTTAATGAAAAACGTGTTAACGAAAAATAGAAGTGAAATTATCTTTTTGTATTATACAGTGATCATTGCATTGCCAAAGTAGCCGACCTGGGAAGAGGATTTCGAATAATCTATCTTGAACTCGGAACTACTGAACGATGTCATTGCCATATACAAGTACAGAAAGTCTGTTCGTTTGCGCAGCTGAAGCTGAGATGAGCTCTGGGCTTGGCTGCTATGCAACGCATTATCCTCATCTATTGAGGTTCGATCTACTTTTTGCAAAATGCTTATCTACATGAATTATAGACTTCTGGAGATCGGCAGAAGTTAAGAAGACTTCTGCTGATCGCCATCTATGGGCCTTTCGCCGACAGGAACGTGGGGTCTGGGAATGCTTCAACATAGCATCTGCAGGGCGCCAATAGGTGTTACCACCAGAATTTTCACAGACGGCTGTAAACGTAAAATTTGCAATTTTTCGATTATTAGCCTTTTCATATTTCCTCCTATCGCCAGCGCAAAATAGTCTAGATATTGCCCGTTTGATATAATACGTATTCGCAGCCATTCTAGCATTAGCCCACATAGCTGCTAGAAATCGACAAGAAATTCAATGAAAAGATTTTACTTTATTGGCCATGGCCTTAAGGTGAAAGTGTATATGCGTATTTGTGTATATAATATATTGTCGATAAATGGTTATGAGCAGTGGGGGAAAAGGAAATCAGGATCCTTAAATCTCTATTTGATCCAACTAATTCACGTCACTTTGTTTGAATGAGGATCTACATGAGAAATGAGTAATTCAGCGTACTCTTTTGTCGCACCCTGTCTCACATAGCTCTCAAACTGCTTCCTTGTTCCAGCATCCTTTAATTTCTACATCGCTCATGAGACACGTACAGGATACTCGTCTAAGCGGAGTCTCACCGCCAGGCGACTGCTGTCGGCATAGGGACTGGAGCATGACGTTTGGTTGTGGGGAAGATCGCAGCAGCGGCCGGCGGTGGAGGTGAACGTAAACCCCTTAACAAAACTTACTGGATTCTCCTTGCGCTCGTCCTCGTTCTTCATTCTTTTATATATATTGTACTGTTTGATTGGGCGAAGTATTTGCAATTGCCTATGATGAGAGGGAATCCCCAATGACTGTAGGGAGGGCAGATTCTTTGTAATGGTAGGCCGGATCGAGTTAGCTGACTACCGAAAAACGGGACAAGTTTCGTTACGACAACCGCTGCTGCCGCTAGAGTCCAGTCATCCAACAGCGCTCTGCCGACTTGGTTTTTTCGTTCGTTTCCAGTGATGCCATGGCAGGTGGTTCGATTCCCAGCTTCCGCTGCTCCAAAAGACGGTCATGGCGCTATTTGGTGCGGCACTACGAAGCACAGCTGGCTGATGATTGTCTCGAAGAAAAAGGAAACAAGCAAAAAAGAAAGATGTACATGTACCATTCTTATTTCTGATTCGAAACGTAGCGACTAAACGGACCACAGACCAGGGCCTAAATAAGGATCCTAATTTCTTTATCTACCTTCTCCATTTCGTTCAATCCATTTTGTTGTGGATGGCAAAATGCCGAACTAATTCAAACGAAGGGAAACGACCTGAGCCTTTTTTGCATTAAACACGTTCGCCTGTCGGCCTGCCTGTCTGGTCGACTAACTGCTGCTGGGCTAGATTCCACCATCGATTCCCCCAGATTCTGCAGGTGCTGATGAGAATAAGACAGCTGTGGCAACAACGTTTGTAGGGTACAAACGATATGAGGCCGTGCTGATGATGATCACACGGCTGCGAGTCGATCGAGGCTCCTACACCCACCCATTTCTACTATTGTCCTAGCAGTAAGCTGAAGCTTCGGCAGAATGGAGTGGTGCTACAAAGGCTTCCGTTTGACGAGTTGGAGTAATAAGGGATGTCCATTCAAGAGACAAGCATGGGAGAGGCCGGCTGTTTTTTTGCAAATGCCGATTTGTGGATAAAGCATCTGATGTAATGACAATGGCAGACGTAAGGCCAGTAGATCAGACGAAGCATTGAAGCTCGATCGGTAATAACATTCACCGCTTAACTGTTTCTTGTTGATAGCGCCTCACGCATAACAGAGTGTCTAGAATAAAAATGGTAGAAGAGACTATTCGAATGAACGAGGTACAATTCGATTTGACTGAATTGGTCAGACCCTCGGATTTGAGATTTTTAGGCCTGTACCTAAATTCGTTATATTCCGGAATCCGGTATAACAGCAAGTCATTGGTTTAGGTGAATCTTATCGACTTTTTTATGTAGTTCGTTGCTGTTGTGACGTTCGCGACCATAATACAGCCATCTTATTTAATTGGTCGTCGTTATGTTATACTCGTGTTAACCGAGTTCATTAATCAACAAATTTTACTCTCCAAACCATACTTAGATTTCACGAGTAAATCCGGATGGACAAGTAGAAGGGCATCACTGCGATTGTTACTCTAATTAGGTCTCATAGAGCCTAGGCTCTCTCTCTCTCTCTATATATGTAACTTTTACTTAATAAATATATATATATATATATAATATTTATTGTTATTAGCAATTGTGCATGGAATATCGTGTTCAGACAACAAAATCTTAAATACAAATATAGATCAAAGTATTGTTACTGTTATTACTTATATATATATATATATATATATATATATATATATATATATATATATATATGCATGTAGCTTAAGAGGACCTAAATAACGTATTTCAGTGTTCACAGATTGGAGTATTTGCAAAAAAAAATCAAAAATACTGTCCAAATAAACGTAGCAAATTCTTTATTTCGAATGTCGTTAAATTCGGTCGCCTGGTCGGTTTAGGTCAGCTACAGGAACATTACATTGCGCCGGATCACTCAGTGTTGGAGTGAACATGACTGACTGAAATTGCAATAGTTCAACATTAAGGAACAGATCACAATGTAGCCATAACGGCCTATGAAGGAGTTTCGCCGAATGGAATAGCACCACATTCTGATCCGTTTGTCGACCCCTTTGGGATACGATATTTGACGCGTCACTGTGTGCGCGGGGGATGGATAACGCCAACTTTACGACAGCAAAAACGGCAAGACACTCCCTGCACGCTGCCATCCACAGACTGCCAAATACCAATTCCTTGTACAGCGAGCCTTCTTTAACTTTGATTACGATCCATTAGTTGTCTCAAGCTCAGACCCTTAAGATTTTCAACAGTGTGTTGACATTGTATCTGCGGTACAGTGGGAAAATGTTGAGTATGCATGATCGTTATTGTTGCACGACACCCCAACGTCGTCTATTCATTCAAGCCAAATTAAACCGCTATCTACCGTTTACGTTTGCCGTATGTACTCCTCCTATTTAGCGCTATTAACTTTATATGGTATCTTACATTTAGATATTTCATGTGTGGCTTGCAGATGGCCAGAATCATAACTTAACGCTGCGAAACGTAACCCGGCGGAACAATGTTAGCTTGAACTTAATCACGTAACGAGAAGGATCACGGAGGCGATCAACATTTTTTGACGTTATACGACTTTTCATAGACGATGGCTCATCTAATCTTTGAAACACTCCTAATCGGTGAGGAAAAAAATACCCGAAACTAAAAAAAAATCAAGGAAGCGAAAAATGCTCTTGAGTGTGAGCGCCGTTTACAAAGGACCAATTTGCACACCAGTCTGAACTCCATAAACAAGGCCGCTTATAGGTGCGAATATCCAGTATTGCAGAACACGGACCTAACAGGTACACTGATAAGGCTCCTTGACCGATATTTAATCAATTTATTATTTATATAATTTTATTTATTTATTATGTAACTAATTTATCTGCCGGTGGGTACCAGCCCGTGGAACAGAGGGCCATGCTGAGGTTTTTCTCGGCACTGCTATAGATTTAAGCTTCCTTCGCGGCAATCACTTACGCGGTTTGTTGTATGACTATGCCGCTATGATGAAATCGATCATAACCGCAAAATGAATCGCCGATACTTCTATGGTGGGGCGCTACGTTACCATTTCAGAAAGCTTCGTTTGTCGACCCAGACGATCCTCTGCGGCGTAATTGAGTTGCTGATGCTAGAAGCACTAATTGGTAACAATACCGTTGACATCAAAGTCCAACTGCGTACATCTGCGAAGTGTCCGACCTGCTTGCGCCTCTCAACTATTCCATGTATTGAAGTAACAACATTCGAAAGGTCGGAAAACACCGGAAAAAAAAACTATTATTTGCCCGTAGAGGCTCTTGCCCGAACGCGTTTACTAGGTCGACAAACAGAGGTAGATAGACATTCGCTTGTGGAACCTTTCCTCCAGCGAACGCCAATCAAACAGATTGGAACGGTTTACTACGTTTTCATTAGTGCACGGTACTGGGGAGAAACCTTGTTCAAAGGTTGCGCATCAGAAGAGGAATGCCAGTAGGTCATATTACGACGGCGGTGGACCTTATTAATCTTTAAGTACTTGACATCCTGACCAGAGGCGCAACTCCGCCGCATTGGGATCGGTTATCCGTTCGGTAATGACTTTCGATGTGTACACGTGCATATCATGGTTAACGTCTATGGAGGATTGTCCAAGGATTCCGAAGATCCTACAGGAAGTGGACTGGTTTTCTAGCCAGCCTATTCAAATACGCGCCATTTTACAACGCTGCACCCACACCTTTTGGCTTCTTTGACAGCCAAACTGATGACTCTGTTACATTTTTGTTATGGATGTAATATAATAATAGTGCAAATAAGCATAGTCATGCTTCTTTTGGTCATGCGTTACTAGTTGGTTACACATGAACAATTTGTAACAGACTTTGGCCAAATGACACTTCAGAAGCTTTTGTACTCAGTATTGTTACTCTGTATTCTTGAAGGACTCATTAACGACAAAGCCGAGCTTCAAAATGTACTTGCTTTTTCCCTGGGAAGCTTATCCTTCTCGTGGCTCTTCGCAAGAGCTGAAGCTCTATGCGGACGTAAACACACACGCAGGGCGAAGTCTGCCAATAGCTATTATTTTCCAGTTGCACGGTACTCGCATCAACTAGCCTCTATTTGCAAAATTTAAAACTCTGTTTAAGTCTGTGTACCTCTGGCATAACGCCCAGAGCTTGTACCGGACGATTTCGCAGGGAACAGAGTGAGCTATTGCGGGGCAATGCATTGGCTCATTGGAGCGTCACACTTAAGGCACACACAGATCATACATAGTCTTGAGTACTGCTGAGATTGATCTCTGAGCTAGTGACGCTTGTTTCAGGTATTCCCTCTGAAAATTTCACCCTTTAAGCTACGTAAAACCTGATTCTCATTAACTGCTTAGGCACTATAATGCTCGAGACAAACTGTTAGTCGATTTCGCAATTGTCGTGAAGGCAAAACATCTCTTTGGGATGGTTGAATTAACATACTTGAACTAATGCTGATCGATCTCGTGCATTGTTTACATCCATCGCATATATATATATATATATGAGAGTGTGTGTATCTGATCCGCGTTGATGAAGAGATCCACGGGCTTTGTCCATGATCTCACTATCATTGGGCCTGTTATACCTAACGTCGCTACCCAGTTACGCGTGTCCTGTTACATCAGAACCCACCTGTCACTCTCAATTACCTCCACGCATCCTATTGAAGCTATTAATAAGAATATGAATACAGCTCACTTGCACGCACTACAGGTCACCTACTGTCAACGCTTTTGGATACTGGATAATCACTACTCGTGGAGTATTGGATTAGATATAAGGTGAACCCATAATTATTTGCCTCTCAAAAAGCCTGCAGTTACATTAAGCCGGATATATGAAAGCGTGCATTGCGAATCAGCTTGAGAACTTTGATAGCTAACCTAAAACACCAAAAGCTTTGTCTTGTCTATGTTCATAAGGTTTGTGCTCGTACAGGGTCGACCTGATACAGTACAAACTTGTTCCGCCATTGGAACTCTTATTCTTTTTAAAAAATACTTTTTACTGTTTAAAAAAAGCTGCAAACTGCCATAACTTCAAACAGCTTTCTTACCAGACTTTTTGTGAAACTGAATACGTCATAGGGTAGTAATAATGTCTCTAAAGTACCATTACTTCAAAGCAAAATAAATATTTCTATTTTTACGTCCGGCGGTAGCGTTAAACGCTGCTTTAAACAAGTCGCGCATTCAACACGAAATAAAGCGCGTCTACGCGGGACGTCGAGCCCAGACCATCCTTACATCGCAAAGTTTAGTAGGCAGACACGTTATTATTGCGGCGACAGGCCACTCAAGGTCTCAAAATCTGAAACATTTAGGCGTGTTTGCGCCAACAGGTTTTAATAACCCAAACGAAATAATTTTCCGAATTGTTATTGATCTTATTTAGTTCCTCGTTTTCTTGAGCTGTCTTTTGGAACATGGAATTTTAAGTTAGGGTAAGCTGCCTTGAGATAGCGGAATTACCACGGTAGTACAGCAGGGTAAGGTTAATACGATAACGTGTTGGTGACAGGAGGGTTACTGCGTCGATGTTCTCATGATTGCGCAATAGTAGTATGTTTGCTTAGCATACTTCTCTTTTTAATAGAGAATTAATCAGTATAAAATCCTATCCAACTAGATAAACATGGACGCTTTAGTAAAAATGCGAAAAAAAAATAGAAAAAGCTATGCAGTTAGCGAGGTATTTGTTCGTCTCTTCATCAGTCCCTCAGTATTGAGTCAGTACATTGAGTCCCCTACCCTAACATGTCTTTCACGCAGTGTTACGCAGCGGTATCGAAACCTGCCATAGATCTGGAAAGTTAAAGTAATTTTCAGGTTTAACTTGACGAGAAAACTTTACCAAAAAGCGCATACGTTGACAATAAGCTACGTTTCACCTTTTCACAGACGCTGATAGAAAAAAGCCGAAGATGAGAAAATAAGGAGACTAAATAGTGTACGGAAGCACGAAGATCAAATAAAGGCACTCATTTCCTTGACACCGCAAGATTTTAACTTAAACGAGAGAAAAGAGCCTCTAGTCGGTACGGCGAATCCGTACGTCCGCAATGCGGACCAACAGCCAAAACTTGCTGTTCATTTATTGAAGCCTCGAACGAAAATAGGGTTTAGGACGAAAATTAGAGCTGCAAGGAGTCGTTTGAAAAGCCCGCGTGTCTGCATTAGATAGGTTAGATTTACAAGGGGCCAGACAAAACATAAGGAGCAGTTCTGCCGGCGAACGGGTGAAGTTCGCTTCTGCTGCTGAAATTACGTTTGCATAATAACAGTCGTTATACGATTGCGTCCCTGTCCAGGGTATGTATGCGGCTGCGCAGCTGGGATCGGTCGAAATAAAGCAGTCCGGTGTGGCGGGGAGGGGTAACTCGGGTCCCTTATGGGAGTCTCAAAGTCTCTGCGATACACTGCAATCCTTTGATAAAATTTTGCCAATGACTGCATCCCTTCAGGAGCAGTGGCGATTGCCAGTGCTCGACCGGCGAATAACGTGAAAACGTGCTAGGTTGCCCGCGACTTAATCCTGCCCTTACGGCATCAAGTCATTATGGAACGCAGCGTCCGACTGAGAACACAACCAATTACAACTATAGCGGTAAGCGATGGCCGTGGAAGAACTCTATCTTCCGTATACGCACCGTCATCTGGTGCGAACGTGGGAACATTTCCGTATATGAACAAATAGAGCGTGGTCTGAGAAGTTTGCCGGTCGACAAGCCGCTCGACATTCTGTGTGGAAAGGTAGATTCAATCTCAAGTACAATTGCGGGTTTCCATCGCGAAGATAGGAGGCGGCATGACGGCCGCCGAAGGTTTTAGAGCAAATCGAGCGGTTTGATCAAATCAACTGGACAAGTTAGGTCAATTATTAACGATGCCAGCTGAGGCGAAATGGCTGAGTTCGAATCGTGTCGAACTGAATTTGTTATTTGCCGATGCAGTGAAGGTACTCACGAGTACTCAGAGGAGATCTAGAGCGTTGCCTGAGCCCGATAGTAGAGTGGTTGAGGATATGAAAGAGGGGGGAAGAGGGCGTTAATGGAGCTGTGAAAACATGTCGTTAGGAAAATAGGGAATCTGTTTTGCCTTTTACCAACAGTTTTTAGAATTGTATACAAAAGAACACGACAACGGCAACAACAAGTTATTTGTTACTGTCAGCGAGTTGTTGATAGAAAAATACGCGAAGCTTCAACATGATAAAGCTTATAGGAATAGCGCACCCATTTTGACCATGCTATGATTCTACCTTTGTTGGCCAAAATATGTTTCACAATCGGTTTTTATGTAACGTTCGTATAGTAATAATGTGTTTTTAAGGGGTTGCGCATATACGAAATAAACCCACCTGGATTCTTTCAAATTGCACGAGGCTACTGTGATTAAACCAAATGTTTACCTTTCCCCGAGTCATTTGAACACCGTATCCATCTGCGAAATTAAGTCATGCCGATGCAAGAATATTCCACAACCTGACAACAAGGACAGCATGGGCAAACATAAAAATAAGTAAACCGAAGCGCCCAGGAAATGGCGAAAGCAGATAGCGTTGCTAGTCCACCCACTGGGTGCTCACTTAGAAGTCCAAAATAAGCATGAGCGAATCAGTTGCAGCGGTATCTAGCGACGAAAAGAGTAGAACATTTCCAAGGGTTAAGTGATGGAATTTCGAAACAAAGTGCTCTTTTGTTTGTGGTCCGTTCTGCAGTTTCGTACCGTTTCGTCGTTACCTCTATGTTTATTATGGCTGTATAGCCTTCGATG